CATCAAAATTGTATACAATAAAAAGTCTAGCCTGCGAAGAACATACCTTGAGTTAAGTTTCATTTTTATTGTTTCAAGCATGGATATCACTAAATTGTTAGAATGATGTAAAAACAAGAAAAAAAAATACTTCCTAAAAGGTTAAAAAAATTTAATTAGGAATAAATTTTTATGATAAACAAATGTTAATATGCTATTTTCCTTTTACACTATACATCTAGTTAAGGATGTTTATTTTTTCTTTTAAAAAAAAGCCAAATAAACTGTGAATCTTTAAAATGATCAAACATTAAGCATTTTTTTTGCGCTTTATACATTTTAATCATGCACAATAAAATCATATGAATGAACATCGCTTCTATAAAATCCCATCCTGAATCTGATCATGGAAAAAAACAAAGTGTAATTACAAGTGAAATGTTTCTAAAACCTTAAACGTGCTTTGCATTAGCCTGCCTATTATTTAAAAGCTCTTAACCATCCGATGATGTTAACTGTACAGTAAATAACTCTTTTAATAGCACTCGGTGTAGATAATGGATTACAGTCCTTGTTCTCTGGGTTATCGATTAGAGCCGAGACTCGCCTGCTCTCAAAGCCCTGGAGTGCACTAATGAATAATGACTTCAATTAAGGTTGTCTAATAATCCAACGTCTCCGGCTGGATAAAATGATCCGTCTTGGGAAGCATCAAACATGCCACAACATGGAACTACAATACTACACTAGACCAACAAGATGCTAGTAAAAAAGATTGATTACTCAGTAGTTTTAATTAAACAAAATGTCCCATTCATCTCTCTACACCTCAATTGTACGCACACTTCTTTATCATATTACATAGGCCTACTGCTTTTTTTTTGGATTGAGATCAACCTATATAAGCAATCTATCCACCCAAGACAATGTGATGATAACTAGTTAAACTATACCATGGCATGTTCACTGTGCTGCCACTCCAAGCAACAATATTTTAAGCATGGGTCAAAAAAAAGAACTGGGCATTCAGCCTAGAGTCTGCCAAATGTTCTAGAGAATCTGGAGTAAATATTATAAGGTAATTCAGCATTTCAGTTCAAAAATTGTGCGTATATCCTATTTGCTATCATAAATGTCAACCATTGAAAGAAAACCCAATATCGGTCAACCATTAATGCACAAATAAATATAATAATAGATGACATTTACAAGGCCTTTTGCACAACTTCCCTTGGATGTTCATTACCCCAAAAACGAACGACTAAACACACACACACACACACACACACACACACACACACACACACACACACACACACACACCAGGTGGGTAAATTTCAAGCCAACGGGTAACCTTTCAAGGAAGGAATGAAATGTCAGTATCTCTGCTGCAAAACAAAGAGATTGTGCAAACATTTTCAGGTGATGTGAGAGGAACAATAATGACGTAAAGGTTAGCACTCACTTTGTATGAGTAGGGCATTTTGCTCAGGTCTATTCCATCCTTCACCAGCTTATCCCTTATCATTATCTTCAGCTTGAGTTTAGGATACACCACCGGCTCCTTGTGGTTCTCTAGTGCTTTGATTTCATTGGAGAGTCCAATCCTGGGACTGTCCCAGGTAGAATTGACCCATGACTTGGTGCATTTCTGTTTGCACTCACTAATTTGAGGTGTGTTCGGGTATGTGCCATGTGGAAGGGGTTCCAGTGTGAAATACAGTCCTGGTGCCACCTTCTTGTCCTCATCTCGGAGTCTCTCCACGGCCCGGAGGACCTTTTCCCGGTGGTGTGGTGTGATGACACCGATGGCATCCAGGTCAGGGTCTCCTATCTGTTTGCACACCTCCAGGTCATCATACCCATTATCAACAAAGGACTCCACATACTGACACAGCTGGAGGGTTTTCAGCCACTCATAGACGATAGTGGGTCCGTTGTTCATCATTCCCAAATCACTGGACATTCCCAAAGTCCATGTGATACATTCTTCACATCTTCAGTGCTGTATGTCAATCCATCATTAGTAAACAAGACTTTCCAGTGCTGAATTCACTATCAAAAGGCAGAAAAAGCTATTACATTCCCACAAACAGATGAAGAAATACGCATATGCATCTATGTAAACAAAGTTTAAAGTGCATCAAATTTACCTCAATACCTTGATAACTTGCCCTGTCATATCGGACATTAAATGAATACAAGGTTTGGCGTACGAAAATGGTGAAAATCTCGTCGTAAAAGTGTATATATATTTCATAACATATGCGATCTTCTTGGAGTCTCACAGCTTGTAAGTTGGTGATGGACGCTTGTTTCCTTTCAGCAGATTCACTTTGGACCTTAGAGCATCAGATCATCACTGTCTGAAACGCCGTTCGTATCCAGTGTCAGTGAGAGTCGCTTTTTTCCGCGCGTCGGTTTCATTTCCATTGATCGGATCCTTAAATAAACATAGAAAAAGGAAAACAAAGGAGAAGCGGCTGCTGCTGAGCACCGTTCCAGGCAGACTGAGAGAGTTTAAGTAATTCAACGGAGCGCTAGACGCCAAATTGAAGTTTCCCTCCCCTTGATGCGCCTTTCGTAGTTGCTCTGGTTGATTTTGGATCCCCCTGCAGGCCGTATGAGAAACTGCAGCGCTATCAGACCATCAGTCCAACGGAGGAGGTCAAAGTTTAATGGCTGACAAAAAAAGCCAGTTTTTATGAACAGACCATTATCAGTCGCCCAATTTCGCCAAATGGTCTAATAGCCTATTAAGGAACACACAGGCAGATTTTGACAGTTTTATCTGCAATTTTATACACACATTTTATTGTTTAAATAGGCCATAGGCTATTCGTATTTTTTTACTCAGATAAGTCATGGTAGCAATTTGAGTTTGAACAAAAGGAGTTTGTTAATTTTTTTGTTAAATCAATGATTTAACACATACCCGGTACTGTATATACATATATATATATATATATGTGTGTGTGTGTATATTTAAATTATATATATATATATATATATATATATATATATATATATATATATATATATATATACACACACACACACACACACACATATTATACAAACAAACTTTTGTGTTAGATGCAAATCATCACGAGTAATCGATTTGACAGCACTAATATATATATATATGCACACACACATACACAATATATTTTTATATATATATATAGGCCTATATGTTTCTAGTTTCTATTCAGATTATACATTTATTTCTTATATGTATTTTAAAGGTGTAAAATATATGTGTAATCAACTAGTTTTAAAACTGTGACATCTAGTGGCCAGAGTATGCAAAATGAAGTGTGGAATCAAAACGGCAAAAATAAACCTTTCTATTACATTTATTTTCCATTGCACAGTTATGTCTATAAACATGTTTCCTAAATTGTTATGTGGCAGCAGATTAAGACAAACATTCATGTGAAAGTCTGATTAATAAAACTGTACAAGAACTCGGCTATGATGAGAGAACCTCATGGAGAATCAAACCCAAGAACTTTAGAACCGAGCCTTACCCAGGATAGTGCTTCAGGAGCTCAGCCAGGCATATTCAAATGATGTTCATGGAAACTCAAAGAACAATGCTGTGAGCATACTATAGAAAGAAAAAAAAAGAATAATCTCGCCTTCATAATAACCAATAAAAGAGAGTAAATATATCTCACTAGCAGGACTAAAGAAAAAAAGCCAAAATATAATGTATATGGATGTTTCAAGTTTGTAAACACGATAACATGCTGCCTTTTGTGCAAGAGAAATCAGAGGACAAACGGTACAGAGATGGCCAATGATTTCAGATTCTTTAGGTCGTCTTTCCTTCTTTAAGCAGATGGCTCACCATAAAAGGTTTCATGTTTGATTCAGTGAGAATATATACATAACCAGTTTATTTAGTATCTTAAAATGTGCCCTTTCATTCCAAATAATAGAAAAAAAATATATTTTTTTAAATATCTGAAATTATATATATATATATATATATATATATATATATATATATATATATATATATTAGGGCTGTCAAATGATTAATCACATCCAAAATAAAAAGTTTTTTTACATAATATATGTGGGTGCATTGTGTATAATTATTTTATATATATAAATACACACACATGCTTGTATATATTTAAGAAATATTTTCATGTATATACTGTATATAGATTTATATATAATTTATATTATATATAAATATAAATATTTTATATATAAATTATATTTTTTTCTTAAATATACATGCATGTGTGTGTATTTATATATATACAAAATAATTATACACAGTGCACCCACATATATTATGTAAAAAAAACTTTTATTTTGGATGTGATTAATCGTGATTAATCATTTGACAGCCCTAATATATATATATCAAAATAGAATATCATTAAACTGGCAATGAGGACAAATCTGAGAGTGTGAGCCACCTCATTTACACTTATCATCTGTCTTAGTTTGGTCCTTCTTGAAGAAAATAAAGAACAATACCAACTACAAAAATATTAAAAATAATAAAATGGCTCGGATGTCATTATAATATTAAACATAGCGCAAGACCACACAACCGCTAGCAAAGAAAAATATGAAGCAGCTCAAGTTGGATTAGATTTTCAGTTGGTCAACATTGAAAATGGCTATTTTGGTAGATATTTACACAAACACCATGGCAACTGGTTTGCCATATATGTATGTGTGTGTGTGTGTGTGTGTGTGTGTCATGACACTTATGTTTTAAATTATAAGGAACATTCTCTCTTCTCAGTGAGAAAAACTTCCACAGCAAAGCAACTCTTTGGGGTCTAGTCGGATCACTTTGACTGCGTCGTCAGCACTCTCAAGTTTGTCTTCAGAAGTATTCATATTTACAACATTTGGCAGCAATGTGACAATAACAAAACAGAAGGAAAATAACAAGCGTCGACAGATTTGACAGACGCCCCGAATTCAACACAAATAGCAGCGATTTCTTGCACCTCATAAATAAGAAAACACACTTAAAGAAAACATATGCTTTCAAATATATTGAATCTTTAGTTTATATATAAAGTGAGCATACACATACTCTTGCATACATGTATGTTCACGAACACACACGTATACGCAGACGAGTCGAGGTTAGCATATTCATGGGTCGCAAAGCAAAGGCAGAAGGTAACCCCCTCTCATGTCCGAGGGGTGCTGCTGATCGAGAGTATGGAGTTGCATTGAACATTTAGTGGTCACTTCCACTGCAGCAACAAACACAGAGATAGATATATTCACCTCTCTGTGAGGATGACAAACTCATGCATTAGTCCATCCAAAAGGCTTCTTAGAAAATACACGGATAGTACTTCGGATGAGGAGGTCACCCGGTACTGTACTGAGTCCCCCATACGCCGTGAGATTCCTTGCATCGTGGGAAATGGGGAAGAGGAACCTGTTTTTGCATATGAAGATTCAGTACTCTCGTCCGTAGGAGGGTTTCTGACATGTCAATCATCACAAGGCACATAATTCAAGATCATGCCTCACACTTCCCGACTCTCGCTCGCGTTCCTTCGCGACAAAAATAACCCGCTCCTTTAGAACAAAAATAATTGACGCTCTTCGGATCTCTGTTTCGTATATAACCAGCAAACATTCAGCAGTTATTCACACAGGTGTAAACGGTTGAGAGCATGTCGGGGTCACATTTCACCACCAAAAAATCTGAAAAATACTATATTAGACTTAGTTTACAGAAAATGAAGCCTTTTTTTTGGTGCACATTTTCATGACAAAATTAGCCACATTTTTATTCTGTAGAGCAAAAAAGGTTAAAAAAAATACTTTTACGCCGTATTTGTGTTGTTTCAATTTTTGCTGATTTAAATTTAAATGTATTGCCTTTAAAACACAATGGAAAAAAAACCTAAATAAATATTTAGTCTTTTTAATTCTGGGGTGAAATATGAGCCAGACATGTTTCTGTGAGATTCACCTACGCGTTCTTTACATCTTTATACATTTAAAATGAACATCGTTCTCCAGTGTCAGCATAGCGTATAGTATACATCAAAGTCAGAGCTCTTCCCTAAAAGCTCTTTTGAGACCTGATCAGTGTAAACCAATACGTCCTTTAGACGAAAGAACCAACAATATGATGCATGATCAGATCAGCTTCACTGCCCGGGCCTGTCTGCAATTTCATATGGCAAAATAATCACATGATATGTGGTAAATACAGCAACTTCCAGCCCTTTAGAGGTGAAATTAAATGGTACTTCATCACACCTTATGTAAGACAATCCGGCCTTTTCCATAGCTAACATGATTACTGAGTGAATCTCATGAAATTAAGATTACGTTTCACCCCAAAATCAAAATAAACAAGAAATGTTTTGCTTAAAGAACACACCTGCCTCCTTAAAATGCAAAATATAGATTTTGGGGTGAAATAGTATAGGTGAAGTATTTGTTTTCATGAGATTCACTCTAATTCGTAAAAACAAGAAAAAGCACTAATTTCCTAAATTAAATCACTAGACATGCAATCTTTTCTTGCTCTAGTGACAGATTATCAGAAGCATTAAGCTTGGCAATGCAGACATTAGACCTCCTTCTGTCAGTTGTATGTCCCTCTGACCCATTTCATTCGCCTTAAATAATTGATTTTCCCAAAATGTCCCACAATCCTTTTTTGTAGTTTCTTTGCAGATAGAATGGCAGTGAAAATGACAGCGTGGCGGATGAAGGTATGAGACAGGGGGCAGCACCAGCGACGGACCCCCTCTCCCAACTCCAAGACAAGATACACGGAGAGGAAAACTCAACTGCCACTGAGAAGGGAAGGAAATCCCGCCCTGATGCGTTTCGCCTGTCCCATTCCTTCCCCTCCTGTCTCCTCTTGTCTTTCCGCAGCTCCTCAGCTCGAGGCAATGCCGCGTGACGAGAGTGGCAGTCTCTGGACATCACAGAGAGAGAGAGAGAGAGAGAGAGAGAGAGAGAGAGAGAGAGAGAGAGAGAGATACAGGAAGAGAAGGAAGAAACGGAGGAGAGATGATGGATCTGCTGTCTTCAAAGGAAGGTCCGCTGACTCCCTGGAGGGACCTCAGAGCTGGTACCATTTCTTATCCTTGTATTTCAGCATTATCTGGTGAAGAAAGACAGATGGTTTACCCTCTATGAAACAAATTATCCAACACAAATATCGTTTGGCATCTCAAAACCTAGTGCCAACCAACCTACTCAATATCAATACACAACGAAAGCAAATATCAGTCCCAGCAGGAGCTTTTCAGATTTTTGAGACCTAAAATCTCTAGAAATGGTGGTGGTATCTGCAGCATTTTTGTGTTTCTTGTTTTGCAGTGAAAACCCACCAATAATCATGATGTATTTAGTTTCAGTGAGAGTACAATTACGTTAACACTTAATTACTCAAATCGTGGTTCTGGTCTCACATGCATTAATTACATAAATAATTCAAGTTGAAATAAACAAAAATGTATTTGAAAGAAAAAAGCATCTAAAAGACATAGCAATACATGGTTCAATGACTCACTGATGACAATTAAAATAATGTATTTTTCAGGGGTTGATTCGACACGCAATGTTGCAATGCTGAGAAAACACTCCTTAAAATTGAAATGATTTCTGTAAATCCAGTGGTCAAATGTTGTGGCCTCTCAATGTTCCATGTAATTACAGCCACCTGACTAGTGGCTGGTCTAATATAAGCAATAGGCTTTTTAAAAAAAAAATTTATAAACATTTTCATGTCCATATATTCATTCAAATTTGAGGGACATAAACTAATTTAATGGTTTTACACATGTATCACAAGAAATTGTATGTTATGTCAAAGAGAATATAAAAAATGTATATAAAATGTAAATACTAATACTTCAATTTAATAAATACTAATACTTACTAATTGCTAATTGATGAATATATATGTAACCTTTGATTAAAGTTGAGAAAACATGACTGTGAACATGGGAATTTGCTTTTGAATTAGTAAAAATTTCAAATCAATGATTCTTAGGTACAAGTCATTATGACTTTTTGTTATTAGGGGTACATCTATGCATAAATAAACCATGTGGCATGAAAGTTGATTAACATTTTATGTAAAATATGCAGTACTGTTGTTTAATGGGGATATAAACTCCACCAAACTGCAGCTTTTGGAAGGGAACAGGTTTAAATGGCAATAGGCAAGTGTATGTCGTGAAGAACGATTGGGAGATATCGTTCAATATTAAATATTACCCTGTCTGTCGCTCAAATGAGCCTTGTGACAGAAATGTTCTTTCCTTTTAAAACACTTGTATAAAACTAGGTGTCCTGGTGCTTCGCATAGGTGCAAACCACAACTGAATTCACTGCAATGCAGTGGCAGGTAATATTTGAGCTAATATTGCTTTCCCCCCTTTCAGGTTAACATTTTTTTGCAGAACAATTGCTGAAACAGGACAAAAAAATGTAAGCTTGCTTGATTTTGCATGAAATTTGCATGTTGAATCACAAGTGATCATCTCACATCATGTGCGTGTTTGGAGAAGGAGTCTGCGCTGGACATCATGGCTGCTGTCCTCTCCTCCAGCTCGCCTAGTTTCTGCCCTCTCTCATCCAGAGCTATCCTTGCCCGTGCCAACTCTCCCACCACACCAGACGCGGCCCCCTTCATGCCCTCCATGCCACCTGGACCTGGGATGTGCTGCGCCAGGCTGCGTGAAGCCTTCCCAGCAGTCACCTCTCCAACTGTAGACCAGAACAAAACGAGAGATCTTCAAACTAGGCAAATTTCTGACCGTATCAGTTTTAAAGTATGAAAAGACACACCTAAAATTAGTATTTGCCAAAGAAGGGTTTTTATTACAACAATGCTGAAATTGTTATTATTATAAATTGTTCTTGTCACATACATATGATGTAATGTAGTGAAATGTTTTTCTTAGTTCCTCATCTCAGAAACAGAACCAACAAGGAATTATGGACATACACACATAATAAAAAATGACATATAATAAAATATCAAGAAATGCTTGAATAAAATAGAAAAATGAATATAGGATATAGTAGGGGAAAAAATACAGGAGAATAAAAAAAAAAATCTGCATTACATTAATGAGAATTTGGAGTGAAATCTGCTTAATTGCCATGGAAATAATGTCACAATAAAAAAAAATATATATATTATTGTGCCTAAAAACACAATCCTAAAATAGGTTTCATTTGAGTTTGGGATGAAATATGGCCGGACATCTTTTTGTGAGAATCATTATATATTGTTCTTCTCTACACTCTTAAAAAAGGTTATTCTTTTTGCCATCAATGTTCCTTTCACACAATAAATATGGTAAATTATCATAATATTACCAGATCGACTTTTCAGGTAAATACACACTTGAGCTGCTCACACAAGCAACAGTGTTCTGTCTTTTTACCATTAAGATTCAATTCACACATCAGAACCAAAATTCTGGTAAACTGTTTGATGTCAATCAATAGAAATGAGCTTTAAACGCTGCACAGTTTTCTTCATCCGCAAAATGAGAAGCGCTTTAGATTCACAGTCCAATCTGACATTTGACTTCTGAATGGCAGGCATAAGGGGCTGATCGTACAGAACATGATTTTGTTTTGTCAATGTTTGGAGCGACTGACGTGTCCATAAACACCATTGATCCTCACAAACTTCTACAAGTAAGCTTCTTCGGCGAACATGCGTTATGAAACGGATTAATTTGATTAATTTTGACAACTACGCAAATATATTGAACTGTTCATACAGAAATAAGATGTATAGCGATCAGTGAGCCGAGAGCACACATATATGGTTTGTTTGCGCATCAGTAATGATGGACCCGCACATGCCTAGTTCGAGGTCATCGTCATCCATCAACACTTTATTAGCGACACTGGTTTTCATTATCCAACTGAGAGATGTAATTTGCGTATCCTAAATTCATGAAGCGGTTGTGTGTTTTGAACCGCAGTTCAGTCTGTATTTCTCACAGCACAATGAGAAATGGCTTGGGCTGCTCCCAAACAAACACAGAATATACGTACAATTCATATATTTAAATTAATTTTAAGTTCTCACGGCTCCCTTGGAGGATCACTGAGCCCCCCGGTTGAGAACCACTTATTTAGACCTACCTATTCAACAAGCTGATTAGCTTAATCAGGTGTTTTAATTAGTGAGATATCTAAAATGTGTTTAAGTGTACTGTACATTGAAATGTTTTATTATAAAAAAAATGTAAAAGTTTGATTGAAAATGGACATGGATATTGGACAAAATGAACATTTGAATGAAAACAGTATAGATATCAGCCACAATAACTATCAACAATCAGAATTTTTACATTAGAGCGCTTCTTCAATTTAGTGATTTAAGAAACATTGATAGCATATTGTAGGTGTAAATGACAGATTAATACTTACACAGGTCCTCTCTGTCCAAGGACTGAGCGCCGCCTCCAAATAAGCCCTTGAAGAACCCTCTGTTCGGGGCCTCTGGTGTCTCCACTGGGGTAAACAGCTCTCCAAGCATCTCCTGCAAAAATGAGCACCTCAAAATAAACGGATATGAAGACTGATGTAATACAACTTATGTCTGAGTCTTTAAAGGCACTGCGAATAAAACCACTTTTAAGGTGCTTTGGTTCCTGGAAGGATTTTTCACATTCATTTTCTACATTCTCCAAGATTAATCACATTTCAAACTTTGATTACAAGCAAAAAAAGCTTTTGAAAAATCAGAAACAAGACAGACTGTGTGTATACAGTCTTTATAAAGGAATTTGGCTATCCTTTTTAGAGCATATCAAATCTTTGCGGTTGTGTGAAGTCTCCATTAACTGAGTGACTGTCCACACTGCACTATTATTCTTGTCTAATTATTGTATTATTATTGTATTGCTGTGGGGTTTTGTTTGTTTGTTTATTAATTTGATTGATTGTTGTCATGAAAATTCAGTAAATAAATCATTAATAATACAATGGTAAAACTATTGACCTATAGTCATTCATTATAAATAATATTATTATATGTCATTACAAAAAAAAAAAAAAACACAGCACAACCTATTTCATTCACAATGCATCATGGTAACATCAACGTCTTTGGTAATCTGTGTGACGATTATCAATTTTGAGCAAAATAATTGTGATCAGTTTCACCATTATCATGCAGCCATAGTCTGAATTAAAAGGTTTATATGTTGTCGTTAAATATCACTTTCTATGTATACAATGAATGGGATTTTAATAGGGCATAGAACATCCTGCACACATAAAACAATCATGGGCACATTCTGACCTGCAGGTTATCACAGGTTTCCTGGCTATAGGTGATTCTTTGGATCTCAGTGGGCGATGTGAGGTACAGGGCCTGGCCTTGGTTTGAGAAACAGAAGGTTCTGGCTATCCTCATGTCCGTCAGAGGAAGGTAGTTCACATCCAGCAGTGGCCGCAGGCTGGGCAAACTGAAAACAGATGGTTTACAGGTTTATGAAGAAGAAACAAAGAGGAAAAGAATAGTCAGTGGCATTGAATGTAAGATCTATCACATTACCTGAGGGTCATGATGTGGCCATTGGCACAGAAACAGGCCAAGCCGACCCCGCAGGTCATCGTCACCACATCAGCTCGAAGCACGAAGGAGGCCTCAGTGATGTTGTGCTCGTAGATGCAGTTTTGGGAGGGCAGCGCCACCACCTTAGCCTGTTTCTCTGAGCAAACCACAATGTACTGACAGTCCTGGTTCTCCTGAGATGAAGGAAGAGAGGTGGGCCGGCGTCTCCGTGGCGGTTCTCGCTCTTCCTCAGGGGCGTTGGGCTCATACCAGGGCTCATAAACGTGGGGCAGAAAGGTCCCGCTGGCATCCAGCTGGGCCATGCGCAGAATGCCTCCTTTCAAGCGCACTACTGAACCTGTGATGGCAGAAAGCGGCAAACCAAAAAGTGTCTTTTTCCATCAATAGTGATTTTCACTATGCGAAAAAAGCAGATGGAATTTCGAAATAGTCATAAAAGTGGAATTTACAGTATAACGTGGAAAGTCACTGAATTTGGCAAAATTTGGATGAACAAATCAAAAGTAAGACTGTAAACTGTAAATCAAATCACAATATGGACAAGTGTCTGAGAATATTAAAGCGCAGAATGACAGCTATTTAAATATTAAGTCTGTATGTTCTGTCTCTCTGTGTGAATTAGTGCAGTTTTGTCTACACGTTTTCACCATTTCATTTGAAAAAACTATCGCAAGATACACACATAAACTCGAATGTCTTCTTTACAAACTGCCAAAATATAAATTTGGTTTAACCAACACTAACAATAATACAGTTTATTAAAACATTGTTTTTTAAGGAATATCAAAATTTTGCATTCCATGTTTTAATTTAAACGGTAAACCTCTGTTGTGCAGCAATTTGTTGGGCAAAATTTCTATTTGTATTCATAAGTTTTATGAATTAATTGGACTTACCACTGTTTTTGATTAAAAAAATATATATACACTACCGTTCAAAAGTTTGGGGTCGGTACGATTTTAAATACTTTTAAAAGAATTCTCTTCTGCTAACCATGGCTGCGCTTATTTGATTAAAAATACAACAAAAATCAGTTATAGTATTAAATATTATTCCAGTGTAAATCAGCTGTTTTCTGTGTGAATATATAGTAAAGTGTAATTTATTCCTGTGATCAAAGCTGAATTTTCAGCATCACCAGTGTCAGTGTCTTCAGTGTCAAATGATCCTTCACAAATCAGTATAATATGAGGATTTGATGCTCAAGAAACATTTATTATTATTATCAATGTTGAAACAGTTGTTGGTCTGTCAGTTGTACAGTTTTTTTTTTTTTTTAGGATTCTTTGATGAATAGGGTTAGGGTTAGAATCTTTTGTAACATTATAAATGTCTTTACTGTCACTTTCGATCAAATTAATTATTCCTTGATAAATAAAAGTATTGATTTCTTTCCTCCAAAAAATAAAAATAAAATTCTCACTGACCCCAAACTTTTGAACGGTAGTGTATATTAAATCAATATTACAGAATTAAAATAACCTAAATCAAACAGAATTTCAGGGGGAAAAATCATAGGGCCCTATTATTAAAAGTTGAATAAACATGAAATTGTTCAAATTTGTATGAAGTAAATTGATTAGACATCCTTTTTTAATGGAAGACAGAAAATTGAAGAAAAACACATTTTTTACATACAGATGTAAAGCAAGTCTTACCACAGAAAGAGACGCCCACAGGCTGTTGCATCCTCTGCTCTGGCGTAGAGGGCACACTGAGGGTGATGGCCATCATGCCGCCCAATGAGGTGCCCACCCACAGGCTGGGCACTGCCAACGTCTCACTCCTCTTGGAAAGGGAGTCACAAAAGTATAAGGAGGAAACAACCTCACGTGACTCTCTGTCAATGCTGGTCACACTGGAGCTGCGCGACCGGCTGAACGAGTTGTCCCTGGCATCTGAGAACCATCAGGGACAAAAAGACAACAGAAGCGGACAATTAACATGACTCTATCAAGTTAAAATCAAGTCTGAACCACCTCAGGACACCTGAAACCAAAAGCAGTTCATTCAGTATATTGAAGATATTGCTATGAAATGTGTTTTATGTGCAGCATTAACATAATCTTTACATTTCAGTTATATGTAGTGAGGAATGAATAAAACATACAGGCACTGGACACAAACCGTTGCAATGAAATCACACATTTCCACAAAACTAGCAGTCACCAGCTACAGAACATTGTTTAGTGGTTTCATTGGACTCTCAGACAATCAGATGCATTCAGATATACTTCTGGCAAACCATAACAGTAATATTTTAGTATAAATGCAAATTCTAAAAGCAATGAATCTCACCAAAACTGACAAGAACAGGTCTGGCTCATGTTTCACTCCAAAACGGAAAGAGTTTTCGATTTCGAAATTATGAATAAAATAATGATCCATACAAATAATTATACATAACAGCAGAGTTTGTTGTACTGAATATATTCTAACTTTAATCATGAAATCATACGATTTTCTTCTTTTGAATTTGCGGTGAAACATGACTCTTGATGAAGCTTATTGGTCTGTAAGATTCCCCTGTAAAATGTCTGCAATTGGTTAGTAAATCACACAATAACAGCTCATAAAAGTCACTAGCTAAACAAAGACAGAGAAGTTAATACGACACAAGCTATTGCTGCTCTGATCGTTGTAGACTACCAGCTGAAAAATATAAAGTGCGCTACGGACACATCATTAGGAATCGAAGGATTACACAGCAAATGTGAAGAGTATTATGAGGTCAAAATCCATAATCTGCTTTGTTTCGGGATGATGAAAGAATTTGTTGTGCAACTTGTGTGTTGCACTAAGAATATTAAACCTTAATCTGTAATCAGTTTAAAATAAAACTGTGAAAAAAGGTGAGGAATTAAACATTAGTTGCACCATCATTAAAGACAACAGACAAACTGCACACAGTAAGCTCCAGTGAGTTAGTATGAGCCAGTCCAAATCAGGTCAGGTCAGCCTGTAACCGGGCCACTCACTGAGGTCACATAGTGAGGTCTCACGGAAAGACGCTGCGTGTCTCCTCTTCATTTCCTTCACACAACTCTGTTGTTTCTTAACAGGGAGAGAGCAGTGACGGCGTACCCTCCTTTCTACATGCAGAACAGTCAGTAAGCGTAAAGTTTAACTAGCTAGCTCATGTATAAATTGCAGCTGAATACATTTGTACCAACATTCATGCAAGTCTACAATCTATATAGACCTATATTATAGGTCTACAATATCTGGGGTACCTCTGAAATTACGTAGGATTTAAAGTTGTTTATTGCCTGCAAATAATTAATAATTGCAATCATTATTGTAGTGACAGCTATTTTAGATTGATTCAAACTCAACGTAAAAACAAAACTGCGACTGGTTCAGACCTTTACTGTCTAAGTAGGCGGTTCTAGGCCAGAATAATCTATAAACCAGACCAGATTTCATGGAGATAGTCTATGTAGACTACTGACTATAATAATTTAGATAATATAGGTAGAGACTAGTGGTTGCACAGACTAGTTGACTTTAATGCTCTGCCATGACGCTTTAAAGGAGAACTCCGGCGCAAAATGAACCTTTGGTCTAATTACACATTGTTACCTAGTCAACCGTTATCTGAGATTTGTTTTCATGATTATCGAATGTAAATAGTTTTATCTCTACAAACAGTTTAGCCTATAAAGCTAGTATAACGCTAGTATATTGGGCATAGTGTAATGACAAATAAAAATCGCTTGTTAATACCACTAACAAGGCTCAAAATAGCCCCACACTAACACGGTAGCATAATGAGGGTCCCTACCTTCAAACCGAAGCATTGAGAACTTTGTCAGTGTCCAGACAGTTTAATAAGAAGATATTTTAAACATACAGTCAACTTCGCGTATACAGGCAGAATCCATCTTTGAAATACAGCCTTTACCAGTCGATCTACGAACGCCGATCCAAGCCTGCTGTTCGCGCTCACCTTATCACAACTTATAGCTCGTTCATATCTGACCAGCGCACTTGGATCGGCGTTCGTAGATCGACTGGTAAAGGCTGTATTTCAAAGATGGATTCTGCCTGTATACGCGAAGTTGACTGTATGTTTAAAATATCTTCTTATTAAACTGTCTGTACACTTACAAAGTTCTCAATGCTTCGGTTTGAAGGTAGGGACCCTCATTATGCTACCGTGTTAGTGTGGGTCTATTTTCAGCCTTGTTAGTGGTATTAACAAGCGATTTTTATTTGTCATTACACTATGCCCAATATACTAGCGTTATACTAGCTTTATAGGCTAAACTGTTTTTAGAGATAAAACTATTTACATTCGATAATCATGAAAACAAATCTCAGATAACGGTTGACTAGGTAACAATGTGTAATTAGACCAAAGGTTCATTTTGCGCCGGAGTTCTCCTTTAAGCTTGACGTCGACTAGTCGCTGATCATTCATGGCCTATAGAGGGCGCAACAGGATAAGAAATCTTTGAGAAATCTCCGTTTACAACAGTTAAAATGACAAATAAATGTATACTCTGAGAGCGCGCCACAAGATATGTTTGATTATACCATCTGGATGCTCAAAATTGATCGGGTGAATGCACGTTTTAAACAGCTTATTGTACAGTTAATCGCTGTTCTAAACTTATGCGCTGCAGCATTGTAATGCACACACATACAGACAGTAGCTCACACCTCACGCGCAGATCACACGCACACCGAATCATTCAGTAGCACAGAAATGTATTGTCAACACGGTTCTGCTGAAAAGTTCTAGTATATATTTCTAAGTACCGTAACTTAAGCTTCACTATTAGAAGAGAGAGACGATGCGTGGGATATTGCCCTGTTCGACTATGATATTTTAATCTCTCGTCTTGAAGCATCTACAGGTTTTAGGGGCATGGTGTTGGAATGGTTTCGCTCATATTTGTCTAACAGAAGCTATTCTGTTCGCATCGGGAAACAGTGCTCATCTAAAATGAAACTTGGGTCCGGCGTTCCGCAGGGTTCTATCCTTGGGCCAGAACTATTTAATCTGTATATGTTACCTCTGGGTTCTATTTTAACTAAACATGGGGTTTCTTTTCACCTGCACACCGATGATACCCAAATTTACTTGCCCCTAAAACGTGATGACAAGTCTGCCTTAAAGCCACTACTGGACTGTATAGTTGAAACTATGGCTACTGGTAACGTTTTGAGTCTGAATGAAAACAAGACAGAAATTATCCTGTTTGGCCCCAGTGATCGTAGTACACATGCTTGTGACCTTCAAACGTTGTCACCTTACAGTACCACCTGTATTCGGAATCTGGGGATCTGGATTGATAACAACATTAACCTTGAAAAGCAGATCAGTGCTGTGGTAAAATCCTGCTTCTTTCATCTTCGTCTCTTATAAGGTTAAGCCATTTTTGTCTGGTAAACACTTTGAGATAGCTATGCATGCTTTTGTAACATCCAGATTGGACTATTGTAATTCTTTATATATTGGAGTTCCTCAGAAACATATCACCCGTCTACAATTAGTCCAAAATGCAGCAGCACGCCTCCTCAAAGGAAAATGTAAACATTTTACTCCGGTTCTGATCTCGCTTCACTGGCTACCGATTAAATTACGAATAGATTTTAAAGTTTTGCTTTTTGTTTCTAAATCTTTACAGAATTTAGCTCCCCAGTACCTATCTGAACTGCTTCACCCAGAATCTAAGTCAAGATCACTAAGATCGGGGATTCGAACTAACTTTCATTCTGTCCCCAGGACCAGATTAAAAAATAGGGGTGACCGTGCTTTCACAGCTTATGGACCCAAGCTATGGAATAGCCTACCCTCAAATATCAGATCTGCCCAAACTCTGACACTTTTTAAAACTTCACTGAAAACGCACCTCTTTTCACTAGCTTTTAATATACCTTGATGTGTCTGTTTTTTCTCTTTGATGTGTATTTGTTGGTTTCGTGCATGTATTGTCTACCTTTTTTATTGCTTTGTTTAGCACTTTGGTCAACGTCAGTTGTTTTTAAATGTGCTATACAAATAAAATTGTATTGTATTGTATTGTATATATTTAATTAGCACGCAATCGCTCTCTTATAATGCATTCATATATACACTCACCTAAAGGATTATTAGGAACACCTGTTCAATTTCTCATTAATGCAATGATCTAATCAACCAATCACATGGCAGTTGCTTCAATGCATTTAGGGGTGTGGTCCTGGTCAAGACAATCTCCTGAACTCCAAACTGAATGTCAGAATGGGAAAGAAAGGTGATTTAAGCAATTTTGAGCGTGGCATGGTTGTTGGTGCCAGACGGGCCGGTCTGAGTATTTCACAATCTGCTCAGTTACTGGGATTTTCACGCACAACCATTTCTAGGGTTTACAAAGAATGGTGTGAAAAGGGAAAAACATCCAGTATGCGGCAGTCCTGTGGGCGAAAATGCCTTGTTGATGCTAGAGCAGCCTTTCTCAAACTTTTTTCAGTCGGGGCACCTTTCAAAAGTGCATAAAATCTCAAGGCACCCCAGTGTAAAATATAAATAAAAAAATAACCCAAATGTAAATGCAAATGTCCTGTTTATTTAGACAGAACAGTAATGAACAGAGCATAATACGAACTGTAAATAACAATAATAATAACAACTTTACAGGGCTATCACTTTTGTGAAAAAATCCTGATCGATTTTTGAGACATAAACGTTCATTGAATCGATTGTAAAATCGATTTTCCATGTCTAAAGACGTTTCCATTTTCAGCGCCAAATATAGGCAAATCCACGGACAACTAACAGGCATTAGCACGAGCGTAAAGAATGCGCTTGAGACGCGCACAAGTCAGCAATATTTCTGATGATTTTTTGGCATGAAGTTTCGTGCACAATGACAAACAGGAGTGCAAGATTCTCGAAAAACAATAAGCAGAGTGGACTGCCATAACATCAATGAAAAACATTACTGCAGGCTTCAACATGGCTGTGTTTACGATTAGAAATGTCAAACAAATTTCGCCTACGTAGGCGATTGTAGTCCGGATCTGTATCTGTATGCATGGGACTGTCTGAATACCGGCAGAATTCACATTTTTGTTGTAAAAAGAGACACGTTATGCAGAAGTATAGTATAGTTTGTATGTGTGTTTGTCAGAGCCTGCAATTGCTGTGTGACGCGCGTTCGCGCGGTCGGTGTTGTTGCTATAACACGTTGCTATGGGTTGCGTCACTTGCGTCAAGTTGTGTGTGTGTCTTGCTTCGGTCTTGTGAGACGGATTTTTATGGTTAATTTTATATATATATATATATATATATATATATATATTTATCTAAAATGAATTTACAATTTTATTAATACGTTCATATGTTTAAAAAGAAGAAGAATGTATTTATGTAAATTCAAATATATATATATTTTTTTAGCCTACGTAATTTTTTGGCGGCACCCCTGACAGGGGGCACCCCAGTGTGCCGCGGCACCCACTTTGAGAAAGGCTGTGCTAGAGGTCAGAGGAGAATGGGCCGACTGATTCAAGCTGATAGAGGAGCAACTTTGACTGAAATAACCACTCGTTACAACCGAGGTATGCAGCAAAGCATTCGTGAAGCCACAACACGCACAACCTTGAGGCGGATGGGCCACAACAGCAGAAGACCCCACCGGGTACCACTCATCTCCACTACAAATAGGAAAAAGAGGCTACAATTTGCAAGAGCTCAGCAAAATTGGACAGTTGAAGACTGGAAAAATGTTGCCTGGTCTGATGAGTCTCGATTTCTGTTGAGACATTCAGATGGTAGAGTCAGAATTTGGCGTAAACAGAATAAGAACATGGATCCATCATGCCTTGTTACCACTGTGCAGGCTGGTGGTGGTGGTGTAATGGTGTGGGGGGTGTTTTCTTGGCACACTTTAGGCCCCTTAGTGCCAATTGGGCATCGTTTAAATGCCACGGCCTACCTGAGCATTGTTTCTGACCATGTCCATTAGAGCCCTGCACGGGCCTCAAATCTAGGCCCTAGCCCGGCCCGTGTCCGACAGCTCATTTAGAATTTTTCAGAATTTTGAAAAGCTGAAGCAAACTGCTCTGCTTCTCAGTCGCAACAGCGCTCGCAAACTAAATGAGTTTATACAATACAATACAGAGAATGCAATCTAAACAAATCAAATAAATTACATTAAAAACAAACATGCAGGTTATAATACCTCAAAAATCAAGTCTTCACTACAGAACATGGCCATTCTTATTTCCAATAGTTTCCAACAGACTCATGAAAATAAAGTCCAATCAAACAAAAAACAACCTCCTAACATGGCTAAGAACAGTCTCAGAGCATCGTGAAGAAAAAGCACAGCATCCAGTGGAAGGTTTTAATCCAGTCGTACTTTTTCCAGCTGCGCTGAAGTCACGCTCACTACCGGGACACTAAACACAGAACGAGCCGGGCGAATCTCAGATCGCGCAGCCGGGAATCCTGTGTGCGTGAGCAGACTGTCATGTGTCAGTCATGTCAGTGTGATGTTATAAAACGTCTTTCTATGTTTGCTTTTCAATCGTCATCTTCTCATATTTTATTTTAATTAATGTCTAAAATAGGCTATAAAAAGAGATAAGCCTAAAACAGGCCCGAGGCCCGGCCCGCGTGTGAACTATGACATGAAAATTGGCCCGAAGCCCGGCCCTAGAAGGGTAAATAAGTTGGGGCCCGTCGGGCTCGGGCTGAAATGCAGGCCTCTAATGTCCATCCCTTTATGACCACCATGTACCCGTCCTCTGATGGCTACTTCCAGCAGGATAATGCACCATGTCACAAAGCTCGAATCATTTCAAATTGGTTTCTTGAACATGACAATGAGTTCACTGTACTAAAATGGCCCCCACAGTCACCAGATCTCAACCCAATAGAGCATCTTTGGGATGTGGTGGAACGGGAGCTTCGTGCCCTGGATGTGCATCCCACAAATCTCCATCAACTGCAAGATGCTATTCTATCAATATGGGCCAACATTTCTAAAGAATGCTTTCAGCACCTTGTTGAATCAATGCCACGTAGAATTAAGGCAGTTCTGAATGTGAAAGGGGGTCAAATACAGTATTAGTATGGTGTTCCTAATAATCCTTTAGGTGAGTGTGCATGTAATCTTTACTGTGCTACTTTATTTGAATCTGATTTAGAACGAGCAGAAATCTGTGAGAAATGTAACGACCCAATGACAAAAGAACTGATAAAGATAAGCTGTTATGTAGAAGCAATAGCCTTGTGGGCAGCGCTGTGTCAATATGCCATATCTGTGCACAAGGCAACCCGCATTCAAGTCTCAGCTCGAGGCTTATTTGTTCATTAATGAAGTCATCAGCGACGAGTCGACGTCGACTAGACTTTCATCACATAAATTTCGACTTCTGAAGTCGTTCAACCCCTAGTAGTCAGTGATGAAGTATTAGTGTTCTCTTAGTACCGCTACTTCAAGAGCTGCCCTTTCAATCTGATGACAAGTGCTGCTTAAAAATAACGCCCAGTTTACATAAGCGTGGAAGACAATGATCACCTGCAAAAGATGCACAGCTACTCCTAGAAACTAAAGTGAGAGAACAAACGCTTACCATCTTTCTGATCAGCAATCATGTTAATTTTCCGGGATATCTTAGCTGGAAAAAAGAAAACATTGTTCTGAACATAAAATCAAAGCCGTTCATCTGGGAAATCATTGTTACTAAAATGTTAAATAAGAATGAATCAACAGGTAAAAGAGGACAGAAATAAGCAGGTTAAGATTAAGTTGGAGGATCATGATGTATAATAAAGCCATGAGCCCATCAGCAGCCTTAAAAAGAGACATTGGTTTATTTAGTATGTTACACTCAGAAGCAAATTGATCATGCCCAGAAAATTGCATTGAGATTAGTGGCAATGAAACCAGCACCGATCCAGAGTCAGAACACCATGAGCCTCATTTCTCTCTGACATTGTGTGTGTGTGTGTAATCGCCCATATGAAGATCTATGATTTCAGATGTTCAGTAGAAATCTGTGAGTAAAACATACGATTCAAAATCAGAGATTTGTTAAAAGTCTAACATCATTTCCATTGCCCGGTGTATTTTTACCCTTGAAACGCAGCAGAGCAGAGTAAAAGCCTGTAATGTTAAACAAGGTTAGAAAAAAAGCATTCCTGCAGGAGATTCAATTTTGATATTATGAGAATAAAAACATTTTAGATCTCAAAACAGTTTAAAGTCAACATGTGCAGCACTTACAATCCATTTCAGGGAAAAAAATTAAATAAAATCACGAAAATATTTTCTCCTTAGAGAAACATAAGTACATTAAGAAAGTTGACTTTGTAAAAAGTTTGCTCCACCATTTTTTGCCGCACTTAACCACCAAGCAACAGATGCACAAAGCTCAAGTTCAGCTCTACTATGCACTTAAGCAAACCCGTTTTAATTTGTTTGGTTAGTTCATTTGGTTAGTGCACAAGAGCCCATTAGCACAGAAACTGAGAGACCCAGACTGCCGTAATATGAACATTATACAGTACCAAAGTCATTGGCAACAGTCTTGGATATCCGCTTGCTTTTGAACATCACTGGAAAATGTGTTGAAAAGAATCAAATCAAAGAAAATAAAGGCTTTTCTAAGACACAAAATGGGTGTGTAAATGTACTGTACCCTTGTCAATGAACTTGTGTTTGCTGTCTTCATCAGAATTGCATGGTGAACCGGAGCCTATAGCAACAACACAGTCTGCATAATAATGTGATACAGCCAATGGGGTCTTATGTAACTTTTGGCAACTATCTGCATATCAAAGTCGAATTCCTTGTAAATGAAATTTCCTTGGTCAGCACACCTGACTTGAATTCTGACGACGCTTGCAGAATTGTTTTAATTTTTCGCTGTGCTAAAGACTTTTCAACTATAATGGAGCTTCACATCCAATGCTCTGGCATTGCAGTGTTTGTCAATATGTCTGTCTTTAAGTTGCAGTGTGTAATTTCTGCCTCACCAAAAGGAACTTCCAGAGGATAAGCATGAGCTTGGCGGGACTACCAGCTGGTCCGAGCCATGCTGGCAGTGGACTTTTGGGGAAATTACATATTTCACTTTTAAAAGGCACAGCCCACACAAACATTTTGTCTTTCATAAACTCACCCTCATGTTGATCTGATCCTATAGATGCAAGCTGCACTTTTCAAATTCAGTGGTAGTAAATCTTACGTAATAAGAAAACGAATAATGACTTATGGTCTAAAATTTTGGACTATTAATCTCAGATATTGTATAGTGTCAAACGACTTGAAATATAGACAAATCTTTGTATTTTTAAATTTTTGGAGCTTTGTTTTGATTTGTTTGTTTGTTGTTGTATGTCATGCCAGCTTCTGTGGCCATTTTCTTGGTGAGAAAAATGTATAGAAGATCTAATATCAGGTTTTTTAAATCAGTTTTTGCTAAAAAAAAAATTCTTCCAGTGTTAAAGTTTTCTGACAGGGTTAAAACCAACACAATATATATATAATAAAACATGCTTCAGGGATAAAGGATTTTGACAAAAAGAACATGTTTTTAGGAGCTTGGCAGTATTAAATGAAAGTGGATGGTGATTTATCAAAAAGAAACACTTTCTGCCTAAGGTCTCTTTTTATTTTTCACGAAAGAAAGAAACATGTGTTTGGAACAACACAAGGGCGAGTAAATCATGACAAAAGCTTACTTTTTTGAGTGAACTGTTCCTTTAAAGGTCTGTCAATCAACTCATTATAAAACTAGCATTAATTCATGCTCTTCATGTTTTACCAGTAAATCCTGTCATATAATGAGGGCATCTTTACCTGAAGTTGGTGATTTACATCTCTCCTCTGGGGTGGCTGATGCATCATTACCATCACAAAAACCTGTTGAAAACAAACACGTCTAAACCAAACAGCCAGATGGACTTCGTACAGGAAACATCACATAACACTTAAAACTAATAAATAAACGTACAAAAATATACTATAGTGTTAAACAACGACATAAAGAAGAATGCAGACAGATATAAAGAGAAGGACAAGACCTTTGATGAGTGCCATGTGACTTACTGAGGTAAGAAGAATGAAGCTTTTTCACAGATTCAGAATAAAAGTTAGAGAGGCCGGACATGCAAGACTTCTTATGCTGAGTGTCTTTACGAAACCACAGAGAGAGACGAATATTGAAAGGGTGAGACAAAACAATGACACAAAATCAAATGAACAGCTGAAAGGCCTTTGAACTCCTAGACTCCAGAGACTGGATTCAGGACAGTTTGGACACATTTGTTCTGCTTTATCATTTTCAATAAATGAGTGAAGTCAAAAAATATGCCAGTTCGTACATTTCAAACCCCAAGTATGAGCAATAGCACTAGCAATAGCAATTACAGTTACATAATCAAAAATTGCTTTATCAAACACTACTTATAATTGGTATTGGTCAGATTTTCTGTATTAAATCATCGCTAACAATAATGTAAAATATCACATGGGCCATAAATTCAGTCTGTTGGCATCTGTGTATTTCAAAGACTGAAACTCAGATGAGTGAACAACTAAAAGAACATGCAAAGACAAGGGAGAGAAAAGAACAAACATCGGCGCTCCTGTTTTTTGAGCATATGGATCGGAAGACTTTCTAAGATCAGGAGCAGATGGTTCCTCGACCAGAGATGACCACCTGCAGGAGCATCATGAGTCCTACACTGACACTGCTCATACTGAGCATGTGCTTTACTTTATCAGAGAGAAAGTGATACACATAGACTGACAACATGCAGAGGTTATGATTATTAGTATGAAGATTTTTGTTCACCTGCCGAAGGCTGTCTGGCTTTGCGGGGTGAGCGTGGCTGTCTGTGGTGAGGATCTGTTGAGCCGTACAACTCGGCTGTGCTCATGTTCAGAAGAAGTGTTTTCTGAAGGTAATCAACCACTGCAAGTCCGTTACCATTGCCAAATGCAACTCTGTAAAACACATGACAGATATTCACTATGGGTCAAAAGTTTGGAATCATTAAGATTTGTTTATGTGTTTGAAAGTCTCATCTGCTCACCAAGGCTGCATAATTATGTTTAATCGAAAATGTATTTAAAATTGTGAATTATTCCTGTAATGGCAAAGCTGAATTTTCAGCATCATTACATCATTTCAGTCTTTACGCATAGCTGTCAACCCTCCCGTTTTTTCCGGGTTTCTCACGTATTTTAGCTCTTTTCCCGCTGTCTTCCCGTTTTAGTATTTTCCCGTAAAATATCCCGTATTTTTACGCCCTGATTGTGTTTAAACTCAGAACACGCAACTATCTGTGTGGCTTGCACTTGGGTTGCTAGACCTCCAGTAAAGTAGCCTATCGGTCTTGCGCACCCAACGTCATTTTTGCCGCGCGCACTTTCGCGCTCGTGCGGACGCGTCGAGTATAAACAAGGCTTTACTCCGTGTCAGCGCGCGCTCTGATCGGTAAAGGAGCACAGACCTCTCCCGAATCATCTCCAGCACTCAGCCCCCGAAACACCACTAACTCCGTTTCCCTCGTAAGCTGATATTGGTATTTAAACAGATCTCTATGATAAAAAAATGTTTGTAAAAAAATATTTTAATAACACGGTTTTGGCGGTTATAGAGTTATAATGACGGTGTTCAACTATAACCATCGGTCTCACGGTTATATAATAACCGTTACACCCCTAACACACACACACTGTCTCTCTCTACCTCTCTCTCACTCACTCACTCTCACACACACACACACACACACTGTCTTTCTCACACACTGTCTCTTATTCTCTCTCTCTCTCTCTCTCTCTCTCTCTCTCTCTCTCTCTCTCTCTCTCTCTCTCTCTCTCTCTCTCTCTCTCTCTCTCTCTCTCTCTCTCTCTCTCTCTCTCTCTCTCTCTCTCTCTCTCTCTCTCTCTCTCTCACACACACACACACACACACACTGTCTCTTTCTCTCTCACACACATATGTAGTTATAAACGCTTTAGACTGTTAATGATTCGTGCTTTCTTTTTAAAAAAAAGTTTGTGGGTAAGAATCATGTATAAAAAAAAATCCCTTATTTTGGGGATGGATTCCGGGAAATCTCCCTTATTTTCAATGTTCAATTTTGACAGCTATGGTCTTTAGTGTCACATTATCCTTCAGAAATCATTCTAATATGCTGATTTGCTGCTCAAGAAACATTTTTGGGAATGGCCATTTTTGTGGCGAGTTACATTTCTGCTTTTAAATATACACTAGTGTTCAAATACAGTTCAAATTCCACTAATTATCATAATTAAGAACAATTATTCAAGTACTTTACATGCCTGCTAGGCTTAAATTTGATGGATCATGACACATAAAACTTGTCTGAAAGAAAATGAACAGTTGTTGTGGAAGGAAAGCACTTTTAATTGCTCAGTAAACACATCATAGGTGTAGGAAATGAGTTGGTGTTGTCGTTTGGTGGACTTACAGGCCATACGCAGAGTTGACGGCCAGGCTGGTGATCTGTTGTGGCGGCTCCCCGCTGACCCACACCAGCTGAATGAGCAGCTCCACCTGGTAACCCGGAGACTGTTTGAGAGGAGAACTCCTGACTCTGGCCAAATAGGACAAAGGACACAATTAACTATATGCTAATATAAACACAGACCATGTCATTCATAAGGCTCTTTCTCACAGCCAGACATTTGAGCAAAATAAATAAATAAATCTGATTCACATCAAAGCAAATGTAGTTGGAAAGGCCATATTAAAGGGATAACTCCGATTGTATTCGTCTGAAAGAAGAATGTCATATACACCTAGGATGACTTGAGGGTGAGCAAATCATGGGCTAATTTAAATTTTTGGGTGAACTATCCCTTTAAGTTTTGGTTTCGTTGTTTTGACATGTTTTGACATACTTGAGACAGGGCACGTTATCTCGCAGGCCGTCGGAGGAGTTGTTGCTGCTGGTGGAGGGGTGGGACTGAGGCAGGCTGGTCTGAGGGCTGGATGATGTTCCTGGGGTGGAAACGGCAGACGCCTGCTCTCCTCCGCCCTCAGGAGACTCCACTTCATTCAGTTCACACTGCATACGCACCTCCAGCAGCTGCACACCAGAAAAACTTTCATTAACTCTGCACACAGATTTACATGAACATATGCATAGATCCGCATGTCTATAAATGGATATCCAGATTTCCATTTCCAATCAATTTTTCTCCTCTATTTTATTTTTTATCATTTATTTGGACAGAAAAGTACACAGATTTTGTCCATTAACACAAAATTATCTATGCAAATTGTGTAATATTTTAGTATTTTCCACAAATCTGACTGTCCTCAAAATAAACAAAAGAAATGTATTAAAATGAATGATATGGACATAAAGTATACACTACCAGTCAAAAGTTTTGGATCGGTACGATGTTTTATGTTTTTAAAAGAAGTCTCTTCTGCTCACCAAGGCTGCATTTATTTGATAAAAAATACCCCCAAAAAACTTTTATATTGTGAAATATTATTGCAATTTAAAACAGCTGTTTTCTATGTGAATGTATAGTAAAATGTAATTTATTCCTGTGATCAAAGCTGAATTTTCCGCATTATTACAGTCTTCAGTGTCACATGATCCTTCAGAAATCATTCTAATATGCTGGTTTGATGCTCAAGAAACATTTCTCATTAAAATCAATGTTGAAAACAGTTTTTTACATTTTTATTTCAGGATTATTTGATGAATAGAAAGTTCAAAAGAACAGCATTTATCTGAAACAGAAAGCTTTTGTAACATTAAAAAAGGGGTCAGTAAGAATTTGTATTTTATTTTTTGGGGGAAATAAATAAAAGAAATCAATGCTTTTATTTGTCAAGGGATTCAAGGACGATTTAAATTGATCAAAAGTTACAGTAAAGACATTCATAATGTTACAAAAGATTGTATTTCAAATAAATGCTGTTCTTTTGAACTTTCTATTCATCAAAGAATCCTGAAAAAAATGTACACAACTGTTTTCAATATTGATAATAATAATGAATGTTTTTTGAGCATCAAATCTGCATATTACAATGATTTCTGAAGGATCATGTGACACTGAAGACTGGAGTTATGATGGTGTTTATGAATATATTTTATTCATAAACACCAGCAACAAAAAATATAATGTTATAACACATTTATTTCTCCGCCAAGCAATGTATTTCCAAAGAGGTTGCCAAGCAACACATGCAGCAACAAAGAATCACAAACACAGTTGCGCAGTAACACTAATGTAATGCGGTCACAGGTGTGTGTTTGTTGAGTAATTTACAACGGCTTCGAACGCGACCCAACCAATCAAAATCAAGGACTGGAACTATCCTTTTTTATAATTCAGCTTTTATCACAGGAATAAATTACATTTTAAAATATATTAAAATAGAAAATAGTTATTTTAAATTGCTGTTTTTTATCGAATAAATGCAGCCTTGGTGAGCAGTAAAAAAAAATTTAAAATCTTACTGATCCAAAACTTTTGAACTGATAGTGTATGTCTAGAAATACTAAATATATTAGCATTATCTCATTGGGGTATTTTTTAGAGGTGATTGTTTTGTCTTGTCTTGTTTTGCCAAATGACTATATATTTGCTTAATTTATTTATATACATTATTAAAATGTTTAAATCAATTAAAAAAATTATATATATATAGACAAATCTACACAAAATTCATTTATTGCTTGAGCAATCTCTTGGGGAGTCTTAATATTATATAACACTGCTAATCAGGACAGGAAAATATTTTCCAGGCATGAAAGGATGAAGGAGAGTGTTACCCGCTGTTAATTACATTTGTAATATTTATGTTAAGTTACTTCAACATTAATTTATTCAGTCCTTCAGTGTGAAACCTACTCATTAAAAAAAGCAAGGTTTTTAGGATTAATAACCATAAATATGTGAGCGCTTTACTCATTTGTGTGGATGCAGCATATGGTAGTTTAACTGTTGGAAATCATGTGTCAAAACAACTTAATGTTTAATGAAATATCCTGCAGTGTGCATACTAAACTCAGTCTAAAACGGCTTTCAACAGCATTCTTCTAATTGCATTATAATCACCATGCAGTGTTTTAGGACATCATATTAATATTAATCATGTGTCACATAGTTAGACCATTTAAAATGAAATCGTGAAATAAAAGTGGTAAAAAATTAATCAAATGGTGACCAGCAGTTACATCATCTGAAATTTACCTTAAACACATCTTGTTCATATCTTATACACATATAAACGTCCTGTATTAAAATGGGTCAGACCTGGACCACTTCAGTGGTGACTTCCTGTTTGCTGAACCTGTAGACGATGACATGAGCCGATACTCCAGCCACACAGAGCACACGACTCTCTGGACACCAAGACAGGATCTGGATGGCGAACGGATCTTCATCCACAATGTCAGTGCTGGATTTCTCCTCTTTGCTACGGGGCTTCTCAAACACCTTTGCTGTTTTTAGCTTATACAAAACCTGCAGCATTACTAACAGACACAACAGAGCAAATGTGTTACCAATTATCTTTATTAGCTGTTGTTAATCATTTTTGTTTTAAATAAATTAATTGCATTTTCTGAATTTGGGGAGCATCTGCAGAAGTCTGCAGAATGGATGTAGACAAGTAAAAATGTCTTAAATGTAGCTGAGAATGCTTTACTCTTATTAGTAAAAATATCTATTCTTTGGACATCTGCAGAAATATCCTGTGCAGATTCTGTGTGCATCTGATTTATATTTTTCCAACTCAAAACATTGCCATAGAATCTACATGTGACATCAAAAGTAAGTGTTTGTTTTCTGAGACAGAAACTCACATGCTGAGGCATCCCAAAACTTGATAGATCCATCAGCATGCCTGGTGTTTCAGGAAGAAAGAAAGAAACCAATAACAGCCCTGAAATACTGCCAAAGCATTAAAAAGCATTTCACGTCCAACAAGTATAAAAGGTGTCCCTCGCTAATCCAATTATTAAACGTGAAAAGGCTTCGGTACAGCAAAGAGTTTATGTATGTGTGTGAGAGATCACTTACCCAGTGATGATGATCTCTGAGAAACTTAGTGTTCCCTGGCCCCAGTTACCTCCACTTACTGGCCACTCCTGCATAAACACAGATTTGTATCAGTCATATAGGACTATCCTTTTTTCTTTTCTTTTTTTTTTTAAAGGACCTATTATGCTTTTGTACATTATTAACTTTCTTTAGTGTGTAATGTTGCTGTTTGAGCATGAAAAAGCTCTGTAAAGTTACAAAGCACAAAGTCCCTCCAGAGGGAGTTATTCTCTATATCAGTGCGCACTGTTTCTGAACTCCCTGAAACGCCTCCATTGTAGTCTTGAGTTTTCTTCCGGGAATGAACACATCACAATATTTCTCATTTAAATAATTCCTGCCAAAGGCATACGCAATATAAAGGGGCGGGGCCTGGTTGAGTTAGTTAGTACCAGTAGTGTGTTGAAACTCGTGGTTATTGTAAGGCGGCTAACCAATCACAGCACACTGGATCAGCTGACCAATCAGAGCACATTGTGCTTTTCAGAAGGAGGGGCTTCATAGAGACCGGAACTAAACAGAGCGATTCTGACAGACTGGGAAGAGAGGTCCTGCAACAATGTTAAATATGTAAAAAACGTTGTTTTTTTTAACATACAAGCATGAAAACTAGGGCTGTCAGTTAAACGCGTTATTAACGGCGTTAACGCAAACCCATTTTAACGGCGTCAATTTTTTTATCGCGAGATTAACGATCTTTTTGGCCTAGCAAACTTTGTAGTTTTTTTCACATGCTTTTGCAACAGGACATGCCCGGCGCTGCACTATGAAACCCATTCATTTCAATGGCTTGCGCTGCGCAAGGACATTTTGTTGCTACGTCGACCCAAAGCACAAGCGGATCTAGCTAGACCGGAAACAAAATAACAGGCACGCCGCACACACTTGTTTGGGCTTGCGAGGCGGCCAAATAGTTGGCTAACGTTACGTTTTGAGTGGATGACAAGCGCGAGACGCCGAAATGGATGCCAATAAGATTCTGAATGGAAAGTTTACTTTTAAAAAGTTGCCAAATGGTCCCATTGACAAGACCAAAGTGATCTGTGTGTTTTGTCGTTGTGAACTGAGCTATCATCACCGCAGCACGTCGAGTCTGAAATACCACTTGATGGCCAAGCACACACACACACAGCTGATGCGAATTCTCCGCCCCCTCGTCAATATCAGGACCTCGTCAGTATTTCTTTCACCCTTTTATTGATGGACAGTGTTACGTTGTGTGAGAGATTGTTTGCTCCAAATGAGAATGTTAGTGTGAAATTGAACACAGTATATGCCCATGTTGTTTTCAATAAAAAAACATTTGCACAAAGCAAGCCGATCCACTTTTCCATGTTGATAAGAGCATTAAAATGAGAAACAAATAATGGGACAAAAAGAAATCAAGAGACATTTAGAATAGATAAAAATGTGCGATTAATTGCAATTAATCGCGAGTTAACTATGACATTAATGCGATTAATCGCGATTAAATATTTTAATCGTTTGACAGCACTAATGAAAACCTATCCTAGTAGACCCCAAACCGAAATCAAAACTTTGTAAAAGGGCATAATAGGTCCTCAGCGGAGGGCAGAACGTTACCTTCTTACTGAAGCCCTGTCTTTTTTGTTTGGAGCCCACTGAGTAAAGTGCAGGAATGATTTCAGCAGGACAGTCCGCATAATATTCGCAGCAGGTCACCGGAGACTCGTGGATGGACAGAGGATACGGATTCTCAAAGATCGGATACCTGCACAGAGAGCTGTTTAGAAATCAACTGTGCGCAAAAGATTAGAGTTTCTCTCCCGTTTGGGATTTACTCACCCAATCTGTGCAAGGTCAATAACAACCAAATCCTTCTCCAGCAGGACGACAACAGCATAAGGCTCCTGGAAATCTGTGGAGATACAGAAGGAACAATTATTTTAAAACTTAGATGAGACATCTTTACAAAATACCATTTATTTTTCCTAGTGAAAAACTGTTGATTGAAAATGATTTAATAACTATATTTTTATTGCATTTTAGTGCTTGCATAAAAGTTGAATCTACTTTGCAACAACTGTTTGGTCCAAATTACAGTTCATTAGATTAAAAAAATTATTAGTAGTAGTATATCGCCCAGCCAAACATTTAGTACTTTGTATAGTTCTAAATTTGTCAAGATTTAAAGATAACGAAAGAAACTTTTTTTTTTGCCTCTTGTTTTTAAAGGCACTGCTGAATATACAGGAAATGTTATGGGAAAATCCAGCGATAGGTGGGGCAGTGACTTGCCGTTTGGATATGGGGTTTCACACAGCGTAAGGAAATCCACTATGGAGTAGTCCATCTCCAGCACTGCAGTGCTTTTCCCATGCATCACAGTCAGACAGGCTCGCCTACCCACTGTATCATATGACAAACCTCCACACAGTATCATGAATGGTTCCCTTAACAAAACAAATGAACAAATCTCAATTTTCCATGATGCAAAGGGAAAGCCAAGCAGGAAGTAAAAACAAATTAGTGCTTCATTCAGAAGGAGTGGAATGAAGAAAATGATTAAATGCAAAACTTGTCTTTCATATCCAAAAATAATTGTCATATTAGCTTTATATTTTATGTCAGTCCTCTGTAAATCATCATGTCATCCCTATAAAACAGAAGCCAGACAGTCTCTCGCAATGCAACGCTGCACAAGTCTTAAACCAATGCATCATGCTCTGTTTGCTTCCTAAATGCAACCCGGAGCCTTACCCTGCCCTGGTAGTTTTGTACTCCACTTTCAAGATGGGTTTGCAAGGCTCCGGCTTCTTTCCATCCTTGGGCTGTTTACCTGCGAGAGAATATTGCATGTTAAACAAGGTGTGCATATGAATATACCTTCACTTTTTTTTTTTTTTTTTTTTTTCTCCAGTATCTGTGTATTTTAATCATGGGAACAATTTGATTCCAAAAAATGATTGTTGGTAAATCTTTAAGCAACAGTATAGAGACACAACTCTTTGACACATTGAGGTGGCTTATCCCAAATGTCCCTTATTTGAACCGAATTATTCATCTTTTTAAAACTAACAATAATACACATTTCTGATGATTCATTTCTGTGGACAGATTGAGTCTGACGTTTTTCAAAATCATGATGCATTTGTGAAAAGATTGTTTTGCTCCGCCCCTATTAAGGTTATGGATTTATTAAACCCCTGGGGTCGCTTTGTTTCTTATCAGTGCGAAAAAAACTCAAAATACTCAGTCGATTTTGGTCATACAGATAAGTTTTGTATTTTGTACCAACAACAGCAAGCTTCTACATGAACATGGTAAATTAAAAAGCAATGACAGGTATAACAGGAACTGTTTCGAAATGGCCCAATGGTGTGTGACTGCTCAAGTCTCTGTCTTTAGATCAGTGTGCTCAATAATGTGCCTTTTTTGTCCTTTGTTATGTATATTTGGATTGTGTAGTGTTGTTTTATGGCCTTATTTCAGTGACTTAATTTTTTCTCCACAAACCACACATAAACGTAATTTTCTCAAAACTACAAACTTTTACATACATGCTGCTCACATATTATTGTAGCAGAGTTTATTGAAAAAGTGTAAATACAGAACATTGATGTGTTTGAGAAACCTGTTCAAAAACAAACATTTCCAGTTCATTTGTGCTGCTAGTGGCACACAAATGACACACTTGACCTCTGATATTTGATATTGATATTTATTCTGTGCTCCCTGAACCTCTGAACCTGAGGAACTTGGAATAGGAGTTTGTTTAGGCAGAAGCTTACCATGCGGTGTAATGATCTGGGCAGGCTTGGCGGGAATGCGTACATTCCATGTGGTAAGTGTGCCATCTGAGTGACTGCACACAAACTGTTTCCCCTCATGATGCCAAGCCACCGAGTGGATCGCCTACAGGCCAAACAAAGGATGAGTAATGAACCACAAGAAAACCAGGTCAGGCAAACTACGGTTCATGTGTTGTGACAGCAAATACGAGTCGATAATAATAATAAACATAACAACAACAAAAAAAAACATCTTAGTTCTGTTCTGTTCTTCTGGAATAATTTACTTCCTGTAGATTAAAGTTGTTCATTTGAGCACTCCGCACTCCACTTTGACAAACGTATTTCACCATAAACAGCATTTATGTAATTGTATGATGTGAATGACAAATTACCGCCAAAAATAATGTCACAACTAATCCTAAAATTAAAAATGTGTACAGTTGTAATTGAAGTACTTTATTGTGTTAAAGTGAATAATTATTGCAGTTATTGTTTTCATGATCAATCACTGCTGTCACATCTGAGTACCAGGACTCCGGACATTTGAGAACAGTAGCACAGATGCCACTAATTTCTTTTAGTGATTATGATTTTTAATTTAATGTAAAAATGTAATTGTATTGTTTTGCATTAAGTTGCAGTAACTAATAATATTACATGATTATTTCTTGGAAATGCACATTTGAGTTGAGATGCAGAAATGTTTTATTTTATTAACAACAGTAACATGTAAAAATGTAAAAATATATATATATATATATATATATATATATATATATATATATATATATATATATATATATATATATAATATGTATATGTTCTTTTTGGTCATGACTTTAAAAAGAACATTTAACTTGGATAATATTTAGAGTTTTGAAATGGTGCAAAAATGTGAAGCTCTTAAAAGTCCTTGAAAAAGTGCAAAAGGTTGTACACTTACAAAAGTTTGAAATTAGGGATGGCCCGATACCGATACTGGCATCGGGGATCGGGCCGATACTGTCCTAATATACTCGTACTCGTACTCATAAAAATTTGCCGATACCACGCACCGATACCACGTACATTTTGCAAAACGAAACTGGCCGCTGCGAGTGCTTTGTCGAGGTGAACTGAGGCATAGGAAAGTATAATGTCGGCGGTTTGGGCTCATTTCAAGATAAGGGATGATGACAACAGCAAGGCAGACTGTGAGTTATGTTCAGCTAAGGTGTCGAGAGGAGGGAAAGAAAGTACATCGTTTAACACCAGCAATCTAATTAAACATCTGAAGACGCATCATAGATTTGATGGCCGAGTGCGCGCACGGGCGGTAATGCACTCACTCTGTGTGTGCGGGTTACGGGAGAAACGATTCGCGGGACTCCCGCAAACTAGAAATATCTATGAATAAAACATAAAAACTAAAAGATTTTTATTCATCTCTTGCAGAAAAGCAACAAGAACAACTACAACAAAATAGAAACGATTTACAGGACAGAGTTTCTATTCATAACATGGTTACAGCGTTGAGCGATGTAGCCAATCACAGACATATGTGTTGATTTCTGGAACGCAATGGCCAATCAGAAGCATTTAAGATAGACTCCCCTCACCGATCAAAACGGACTTTTTTGTTCAGTGCTGAATTCTGTATGCTGGCAAATCCTCTAATTATAACAAACAAAGTGTGGATATTATGAAAGATTGATTGTGCAGTCAGCTTCATTGATAATAACAGAGATGTGTGAGATCGCGATGAACTGTCAGCTTTTAGGATTTATTAAGGGAGCGCACTTTGCGCGCATTCAGTCATGCCAGACCATGCACGCAGTAGCCTGCTTGCTTTTATGTTAAATTAACAGTGGTTTGTGTGTTAATACATTTATTATTTTACTAATTTTTATTTATTTTTAGACTTGTTAAAACAAGCAGAGAAGAAAATAAAAACAGTCTTCCTACCTGTGTTCTAAAATAGTCATCTTCTTTTCTGGGAGCCTATTACTTTTGCGGTAGAAATATCGGTATCGGTACTCGGTATCGGCAAGTACACAAATGTAAATACTCGTACTCGTATCGGTTTGAAAAAAAATGGTATCGGGCCATCCCTAGTTGAAATGAATAATGTAAAAACATTTAACTATGGTTAGCGTTAATGCATTAAATCCATGGTGAATGTTGGTGATTTGTGGACTGAAAAGCCTTCTATAACTCATTTATGGCCTATTCACACTTGAAATATTTAACCTTGGGTCATTCTAAACCTGGAGTAAACTGAATCCTGGGTTATCTTGCTTCACGTTTCACACTGCTCATAATTTACCCGGGGTTATCAATTAATCCTGGGTATTCATAAGCTGATGTTTCACATTGTACAGTCACTAACCCTGGGTTAAAGTTCTTATTTGCATATTTGCGGGGTCAGTGTCATTGATTGGATGAACACAGCATGCAACCTGTTTACATAAAAGCTCTAGCATTGCACATCCTTGTATTGCCGACTATACTATCGAGGTTATACTGAATGGATACTTCGGACTAATAAAGGTAAGAATGAAACGGTCTCTTCTTCACTCAAATTGTCATGTTTTCTGTCAGCATTTGCCATTTTACTCTCAAATGCTTACTGTTTATATACAATGTGCAGTCTTTCCGTGACTGTACAAAAAAAGTCACACACCGGCAAGAAAAAAGGTCGCAAAATGCAATCATGTGGTCGCAGTCTGGAGACCTGTCGAGTGCTTGGAGCCTGTACCAATTTGAAGACCTTCCTTCGTTCCTTTCAGGGATGTAACTGAACAAGACTAAGTAACTGTTTAAAAAATGCTTTGTCCTATGTAAAAAGTTTGTCCTAATATTAAAAAAAAAACATTACCTCAAACTCTGAAATTCAATCAGAATGCACGGAGGCAACTGTAATCTACAATAACAATGTCTCACCTCGTCATAGTTGTACCGATAGTCAGCCTTCTTCGATTTCAAGTCCCACAGCACAACTATACCGCACTCAAAACCAATTAAAAGCTGCAAAAAAAGAAACACAACTTTTCTGAAATGGTGCAAACTAAAAGCTGAGCAATCAGAAAATATATTTAATCTTCATACTTTCCCTTCGTCCATGGGGTTATCGCTGATATGAACTACAGGTCCAGGGTGAGACTTTGAGGAACTGTTGAAGAGAGGTGACAGTTTATAGTGTTTTGACAAATAGAAAGGCTGGATGCAAAGATCATGTGTGTAAATATTTGAGCATAAGATATTTAATTAGAATAACAGTTTATGGTGTCTATACATGGAGAGTCAGACCCTTACAGTTCAATGGCTTTGTTCCACATGATGACATAGCCTGAGAGGGTGAAGGACTCCACATTGACGATGTGAATGTTCCCTCTCTCCGTGCCCACGTAGAGCCATTTACTCTGAAACGGCAAATGGCAAAACGTGATCCTGCCAAAAGACAAAGAGAGAACTGACCTTAATCAAAGTGAAATACTCACTGCGATTATCTCATACGATAGCGAACATTTGACTGATTTGTGTGTCGTGACGCATTAAGGATGAAATGCCAATATCAGCAGAGTGAAACCTGGCAAAATGAATGAGTCACGTTTGATAAATCAACTGGTATTACTGTGGACGACTGTGCATTACTGCCATTGTGTGTCTTGTGAATGGCACAGCAATCAAGTCTATATGCATTTAAGGACACTTGAGAACACTGTCCTGCCCTCTTGTCTCTGAACAAACATTCATTTCACCCCTTTATTCTGGGTTGGTCTGCTGATTAGCAGTCAACTGGGCCCTTTGCCCAGGTAAAGGCCAACTTTTGCATTTTCTGAAGAAAACGTGAGTGGTGTTTGCCTGTGCAAACCTTGCTGCCACAATGCTAGAGTATTTTGGGTGGTCACTAGGGTGTTGCTATGCACTTGATAAGGTTTTTAGAGATAGCATGTTGCTAGGATGTTTTGAATAAACCCTTAATCCCAAATATGAGCAATAGTAACAGTTAAGACAGCACGATTTGGAGAAAAAACCTTTTCAGGGGGAAAAAAACAGTGATTTAAAAAAAAAATCCAGTTTTGTTGTGCTTGTTTGTAAGGATGCTCATTTTTGGTAAAAAATGTATGATTATATATGAATATGGCTACAAAATTATTATTATTTTATAAAAATATAAACATTACTAAATATAAACAAAATCAGAAATACTACTAATACCACTTGTCATATTTTACAGTAAAAAATAATAATAATATAATAATAATATTTTACAATACAACTCTATAATGTTTACAATAATAACATATAATTCCTTCTTTTTTTAAACGTCAAACCATCAAGCATTTATTTTTATGGAAAACAGCAGGTTTTCTTTTCTTTTAAAGCTTCTCTTTTGATGATAAGCGCTTTTCAATACAAGTTTGGAAAGATGACTGGCGTATGTTGCGTTCCCAAATGCACATTAAAGCGACCAAATGCAGAGCAGATGCACAGATGGAGTTTGTGAGGAACAGCATTTACTGTGAACCGAGCTGCTCTGAGACGCTGCAAACACCGGTGGGTAATGAACTGCTCACATGTAAAAGAACACGTTGCCACACTTCACTCTGAAACATGCAGTACATATATTTAATTAATGTAAAGGTGCATGGTTTACTTGTATGCAGAATGCTTACCTCTCCCGATTAAATTTAAGAGAATGGAGAATGGCAGGAAGTTTTTGCCTCAGATTCCACAAATGAATACTGTCATCTGCCAAAGCACTAACCAGTGCCCCCTATGGACCAAACACACACAAAAAGAGAGCTCTAAATCTGTAATTCTCTACATATTGAACATATTATTCATTTTAAATGACTAAATATTAAACCAAAAAGCTACAGACAATGACAGGAAGAGGGATAAAACCAAGAGAGAAAGTAAGAAAGATGAAATGCCCATTAGGCAGAAGAACTCACTTCATTGACAAGAAACTCCAGCTGGATGACAGCCGATCCGCTCTCATGCTGGCAGTAACACTCCACTCCAGCTCGGCCGAATCTGCAGGCTCAGTTAAGGTACATACACCACTGAACACCTCAGAGTACCCGTCAAATGTGCTAAATCCAAAATACCATTATTGCATATAAATGCATTGCAAAATTAAAGGGATATTTCACTCAAACAGTAACATTGTCATCATTCACTCACCCTCATGTAATTCCATTTTTTGCTATTGAGGTGAGATTTTAGGCAGAATTCAATACGATGAAACTAGCTGGTGATTTTTCCCACCAATGTCTTTGTGTGAAGAACAGGTGCAAATTTATATTATTCTTACATGCGTTTACAGCAAACAGCACTGATTAATCCATGTCAAATTTGAGAGATATTCGAGAGCTAATTCTTGAAGCTTTGCAGTAAAAACCATCACTTTTCTTTGAACAGAAAATAGCTCCAACTTTCTTACCATGAATCTCCTTTTTGTGTTTCAAAAAAGAAAATAATACAGAGTTGGACTATAATAGAGAGACTACATATTGTACTGTAGGACTATTTAATTGAACTGGAAAAAGTCACAGCACCTAAATATATGCATCGTATACAATCATATACAGGTCCTTCTCAAAAAATTAGCATATTGTGATAAAGTTCATTATTTTCCATAATGTAATGATAAAAATTAAACTTTCATATATTTTAGATTCATTGCACACCAACTGAAATTTTTCAGGCCTTTGATTGTTTTAATACTGATGATTTTGGCATACAGCTCATGAAAACCCAAAATTCCTGTCTCAAAAAATTAGCATATCATGAAAAGGGTCTCTAAACCAGCTATTAACCTAATCATCTGAATCAACTAATTAACTCTAAACACCTGCAAAAGATTCCTGAGGCTTTTAAAAACTCCCAGCCTGTTTCATTACTCAAAACCGCAATCATGGGTAAGACTGCCGACCTGACTGCTGTCCAGAAGGCCATCATTGACACCCTCAAGCAAGAGGGTAAGACAGAAAGAAATTTCTGAACAAATAGGCTGTTCCCAGAGTGCTGTATCAAGGCACCTCAGTGGGAAGTCTGTGGGAAGGAAAAAGTGTGGCAAAAAACGCTGCACAACGAGAAGAGGTGACCGGACCTTTTGAACCAGAAACAGCGGCAGAAGCGCCTGACCTGGGCTACAGAGAAGCAGCACTGGACTGTTGCTCAGTTTTGCATGTCATTCGGAAATCAAGGTGCCAGAGTCTGGAGGAAGACTGGGGAGAAGGAAATGCCAAAATGCCTGAAGTCCAGTGTCAAGTACCCACAGTCAGTGATGGTATGGGGTGCCATGTCAGCTGCTGGTGTTGGTGCACTGTGTTTTATCAAGGGCAGGGTCAATGCAGCTAGCTATCAGGAGATTTTGGAGCACTTCATGCTTCCATCTGCTGAAAAGCTTTATGGAGATGAAGATTTCATTTTTCAGCACGACCTGGCACCTGCTCACAGTGCCAAAACCACTGGTAAATGGTTTACTGACCATGGTATTACTGTGCTCAATTGGCCTGCCAGCTCTCCTGACCTGAACCCCATAGAGAATCTGTGGGATATTGTGAAGAGAAAGTTGAGAGACGCAAGACCCAACACTCTGGATGAGCTTAAGGCCGCTATCGAAGCATCCTGGGCCTCCATAACACCTCAGCAGTGCCACAGGCTGATTGCCTCCATGCCACGCCGCATTGAAGCAGTCATTTCTGCAAAAGGATTCCCGACCAAGTATTGACTATTGAGTGCATAACTGAACATAATTATTTGAAGGTTGACTTTTTTTTTTGTATTAAAAACACATCTTTTATTGGTCGGATGAAATATGCTAATTTTTTGAGACAGGAATTTGGGGTTTTCATGAGCTGTATGCCAAAATCATCAGTATTAAAACAATAAAAGACCTGAAATATTTCAGTTGGTGTGCAATGAATCTAAAATATATGAAAGTTTAATTTTTATCATTACATTATGGAAAATAATGAACTTTATCACAATATGCTAATTTTTTTAAAAGGACCTGTACATATTAACATTAAAACCTTGCTGAGAAAATTGTTCATGTCATGTTACTTCTCAGCTTACCAGTAGACAACAAAAAAAGAATGCAAGTAAATCAACAGGGTGCAGCACTAAAGGGAATCTGTGTTCGCAGAGGACGGTGCGTCATATTACCGAGGGTCTTGTCCATTGACTTAACTAAAAGGATTATACAAAGTCTCTAATCGGAGTCTTAAGTCTTGTCTGTGAATGCTGTTTCAGCCCTCTGGAGTACAGCACTCTAACTGCTCCCATAAACCCCTTCTCCAGCAGGACAACAGCGACTGTCTACAGTCAAACAGTCCTTCATATTCATCAGCGCTGTGCTGCATTGCATGCTTTCTATGTGCATTCAGAAACAAATGCGAGTACTGTTCCATATCAGTTTGCAGATTCCAGGGCTTCACAACGGGTGAAGAAACTGTTATGTTCTTGTGCGTTTACCAACAAGAGCTCTTATAATACCAAATAGAGCTCTTGTAATATCTTTTTTTTTAAATCCCAAATAAAACATGCAGATACTTTAGAGAGCTTTAATTCAACGTCTGTATAATGCAAAATACAATACTGGCGAGTAAAAAGAGGCTCTTGCTATAGCAATAACCTCAGATTAGAAAGCTACTTATCTGCCAAATGAAAACACTGCAAAACAACATATGGACACTGTATGTTGTTACCTCAGGACATCTAACACACTTCTAATGCCAGGGAAGGAATTCTGAAATGGTTGACGCTATAAACAGGAAATGGCTTTCTCATCCGTATTGAATCAGCGGTTTCCTGCAGCAATGTACTAATTTCCTCTTGAGTAACTTGCTATTGTGAAAACATATAAGACCTGCTGAGAGCCCTACAAGCACACGCGGCCAGCTAACAGTATGTGAAGCTTTACAGTGTCTGATATGTTAACTTTGTGCTGTACAGTCACATACCTGTACGTTCTACCCCTTCCAGCTAACGTATCTCTGTTAAACAGATAAATTATGGTAAGCAACATTGGTAGGGCTGTGCTCAGGAAGAGAGCCATTACACTGAAGATAAACTCACCTTGCTGACACAACGGTTTGCGAACAAGACATCACCAGAGATTACGAGAGGGCAATAAACCAAGAACAAGACAAAACTAATGCATGTTCTACGCATTTAGTCTTGTTAATATTTCACTGTAACACAGCATGTTTAGAAAGTGCACTTGAGATTCACAGAGCAGAAACTTACAATTAAGCCCTTTTGGGATGGTAATTGTTTCTCATGTGGATGTCTGTAAAAAATAAATTAGCATGGGACCTCAGTGAAAAGCTCGTGCATTCGGATGGCAATTTATTCACGGTGGAGGAGCTAGCGAACACGCTAGCTCATGTGGTCAGTCGCATGATTGTCAACTGTACATAAAATGTCATATGCTTGGAATAATATGAATAAATTCATATTTAATTTAATAAAAGGAGTACGATGTCCTATTTATGATTTAATTATCTAAATCTCCTGTTTAAAAATAGAAAGCTAGACACACTATATTTGAAATGGTTTTCTGTTTTGCATTTGAAAAATATGGAAATTAGCTAAATCAAGTTAAATGCAACCTCTTATTTACATGAGGTAAACATAAAGCTGCTTGGTTTACATTTTTAATGTATATAATTATATATAATATTTGAAAATTGTATAGCATGTATTGCTGCCACAATAACAGTCCATTTCAAATGATTACATGCTTTTTTTCTCCTTCTCCCTTTTTTGTTCTTAACAGCTCCATTCGCTATGCATATTTAAAATGCATGACAAGTACAGCGAAGCACAACAGTTATATTATGGTGCTCGGGAGTGGTCAAAAAGGATTTAAACAGTGAATTTTTAATTGATCTTCTCTTGTAAACTCGGCACGGCAATTAAAATTACCACACGACCTTGATGTTCGTCAAAAAAAAACAGTAGGTAATTCGGCCGGGGATGTTTACACGGTTGGTGGGAGAAAAACTGACGTTCTGGATCGGACAGCAATAAAATCACAGACTAGCCCCTGTAAATGCTGAAAATACCTCACATCCCCATGAGAAACAATTACCGTCTGAATAGGGCTTTAGTCAGCCACTATTATACTGGGGTCAAATCCCTAACCTATAGTACCTATTTTAAAATGTATAACCTTGTGTATTACAAATTCAGTGAGTAACAAGGCACCACTAAATCATAGTGGTGAGCTTTTTTAAGTCGATGGAGCCCTAGCCCTCTATTATAGAGAAAATATGAGAAATACATGAGATATTATGGGCATGGACAATTTGTCAGGCCATTATGGTGCACCATATTTGTTATGACAGATAACCAATACTGATATAAATAGTATAGTATAGTATAGCACATATTATAAATCCAAAATTGGTTTAGTCTGTGGTATAGAAAAGAGATCACAACCTTTAAAAATGACTAAATAATGGTAATTTGAAGTCAAACCGGAAGTAAAAATTATTTTAATGACAGAGGAACGTACAGAAAAACCAACTGAATTTCGCCTGTGCAAAAACACAAGTGAAATACATACTTTGCACATAGGAAACATGTGGTTTTGGAACGGTTCCCATGTGAAATCCATGTGATCACATGTGAAACGTGATGACATTATCCACGTTATTATCACATGTGGAAAACATGGGAAATTCATGTGGTTTTTCTGTAAGTACCTGTAAAGATTAGGCCTATAATGCTTTAAAAGGAAAAATGTAGGCATTATTATCTGCTTCCAGCCCATTCAGTGAACATAAAGTGAACATAAAGTGAAGCTATTGCAGGTGTTTGTTTTCATTGCACGTTTTTCAATCTAAAAAAATCTTTCCGTTTTTATTTTTAACAAAATTATATGGTCAGAGGTGGAGAGGGCCAGATTTTATAAAGGTTTTAAAGCTTCTCTGATGATGCGTTTTGACCGTTTCAGCATCTATTTCATGCACGCAACCTGGATAAGCTTCAAAAGGTAAACATGCCAGCAATGTGGAACA